AAGGAAACTATGATTCACTGAGTTCCTACTATGTATTGAGATACTGTGTTTGCTTTAGAAACTTGTTTATCTCATGCAGTAATAGACTGAGTTAAAAATACATTTGGATACGTGAACTTTATCATTCACAAATACTGTTTGATGCCTTGGTATTACTTTTGAAAATTATCCTTATAGAAACCTTCAATCTAGTTTCCTTAGAGACAAAAAATAATTCTCTATTTTTATAATTTTAGGTCAACTTTATCAGATATATTTGAAGTAATTGATTTAGATGGAAATGGTCTTCTTAGCCTTGAAGAATATAATTTTTTTGAATTGAGAACAAGTGGTGAGAAATGTGATGAAGATGCTTGGGCTGTCTGCAGAGGTAAGCACTTTTCTTTTTCTTAATGGATATGTTAAAAACAAACAAACACACAAAAAATATATATAGCACCCTTTCATCCTTAAGAAGTTAAATGTCAAACTTATCCGTGGAATATGATTGCAATTAGGACAATTTCAAAGTAGTAGCATTGTTTGTAGACTGTAAAAATTTAGACTTTTATATTCCTTAAATTCTTAGTTGGTGTAGTATTCAAGTTAAAAGAAAATGTGAATTAATCATAATTTATATGCTCGGAGTTTAGAATGTAAAAAACTTTGCCCTAGCTCTGATAGCAAAGGGACTGAAGCTGTTAAGAGTCCCAAACTCTGCCCAGGAGAGGGCAGCAAAGAGCTAATCGGCTAGATTTGTGTTAAAAATTCAGCGGTTTCTAGGCAGTTGTTTATATATGTTAAGAATTCTTTCATTTTTTGTATTTGAGTTGAATTGGTAAAGTTCATCCATGGATGTATAGAAACTAAAAATATTAATGTGGGAAATAAAAGTGCTGAGAATGAGGGAGTTAGTTGTCACTTAGGAGAAGTCTGAGAAGAGGGTAGGACTTGTGTACATATTTAAGCCAAGGACTGAAAGGTCAAAGGGGAAAACTAGAAAGCCATAGCCAACTGTAGATCACAGAACAAGAAATATGAGAAGGCTAGAATGCAGTCAAGAGAGAGATTAACTCACATGTTGCTGGCACTAGGGTAGAGATGTGTTCTATCCCTCTGGTTCTTGACGTGGTCTAAGCTTGGCAGAGTCAGTGAGCCAGGTGGGAGTCTGAAAATCTGTTTATCTAAACAGCAAATATGGTAGAAATGTTATTAATATAAAAATTTAAAAAATACATCTTTTTAACTGAAAGTTTATATAGTGTAATGAAGAATAAGAAATGTATATTGATTTATAATATTAAACTTTGATTAACAAGATTGATAACATAGAATATTATTTTTAGGAAGATGTAATCATCTTGTAACTAATGTTATAACATTTTGATTCTCTGTTGTTGGCACTAGATCACATTCCGTAAGAGTTAATCATAATTAGGATTTTCTTACTGTAAGTTGTTGTTAAATAGAATTTTAGTTTAATAATTTAATTAAATTGGTAAAATTGATAGTTAATTTTTTTTTGAGGGCTTACCACGTATCAGGTGAGGGCCCTTCTACACATTACCTCTTTGAGGTGTATACTATTATTATTCTCATTTTACAAATGAGAAAACAGAATCGAAGAAGGTAAGTCACTTGACCAAGATTATACAGCAAGAAAATTTCACAGCTGAATTTGTAATCCAGACAGTCAAGCTTCTGAACCTTCAGTACCATGACTTGGGGGAAACGTTTCCTTCAACAACATTAATAATGCTATGAAGAAATGGGCTTTTTAAGTTCTGAAATACTTATCTTTCTAACCATTATATGTAATATTAATTTCATTTATCCTTCCTCTTAATAAGAAAATATATTATTTACCTGTAAGATCATTTTATAAACCTTTTTAGACTTAAAGATGCCTTTTTAAAAAAAAATTTATTAATAGACTTTATTTTTAGGGCAGTTGTAGTTTACAGTAAAGATTGAGTAGATCTCCCATGCAGCCTTTTTCCCCACTCTCCCAATTCCCCCTCTTATTAACATCTTGCATTAGGATGGTACATTGTTTAAAGTTGATGAACCAATACTGATACATTATTATTAACTGAAATCTATAATTTATGTTAGAGTTGTATTGTGTTATACAGTTTTATGAGCTTTGACAAATACACAATGTTATGTATCTGCCATCACAGTATTAGACAGAATCATTTCATGGTTCTGAAAATTCCTTATGCTCTACGTATTCATCTACCTATTAATCCCTTCAAACCCCTGGCAAACACTAA